ACTCTTAGAATTTGGAGGCAAGTTTAATGACTGTAGTTACAGTCTATATAGTTAGTTATTAGAGAAGAATTTTATTGTGTTGTGCAAGATTAGGCACTGAGGACTAAATTGGCCTTGCCTGGTTTCTGGATGTAAGGTGTTTTGGTTTTTTTTCCCCTTAGCAAAGGAAGTGCAGATGCAGGTGGTTATTAATAGCCCTTTATAACTAGAGTACTAGATTGTCTGAGTAAATATAACTTTCATACATTCAAAGAGGAAAACATCAGGGCCCTATTTGAGTCTTGATATGCACGTGGAACTGCATTAATGCTAATCATCACTGCACCTAAGATAGAACCTTGTTACTACTAGCATGCAGGCAAACTCATGTTTGTCATGCTCCTAAGTTTTTCCATTTCTCTAATCTTCTTAGGAAATAGTGTTTTTCACACACTCTTAAAAATTTTACCCAATAATTTCATTCTGAATTTAATTCCTATTACTACCTGGAAGTTGTGGGGTTCTTTGTAAAAAGGCTTTCTATAGCTTATGTGTGAAAGCAGTATAATTTTCTTTCTTTTTTAAAAACATTAAAACAAGTGGAATTATACAATGTAGAAAGTTATTCATATAAATCCAGGTTTGCGATGCTTTAGGTTGTTATCAATCAATTTTGCTGTTCTGTTCATCTAACTTTGTTGTCAAAAAAGAAAAGTAGTGAGACTCTAGGCTGTTTTGCTCTGCCTTTTAACAAGTTGATTTCAGGGACTTAAATTCTAGTTTCACTCTCTGAAGATGCTGACTCAGTCTCCTCCACAGGGAATGTTTTCCTGTACTGCGGCTTCCTTTAGCAGAGTCCATTTTTTCTCCACCGAACATTCATTCATTCATTCATTCATTCATTCATTTTACCAGCCATAATGTCTTCCGTGTGAGTTCTCTGCTACACTGGGTACCTTGAGGCAAAACAGAATAGTCCTCTTCTTAAAGCAAACATTTTTTTGTTACTTATTAATGTCAATATATGTTATTTATTTAATTGCCTCAATGATCCTACAAGGTAGATAAAAGAATAATCTACCTCCATTTTTTGGCTGAAGAAATTTCTTGTCTTCCTGAAATTAACTAAGGTGAAATAGGTGCAAACAACATAAAGAGGAACAATCAAACATGCTGAAATCAGTGGTGTGTATCCTAGAGCTGTGTGATTTTAGAAAAAGAGGAGATTGATGTGGTTTGGGGCGTTCAGCGATGACCACATTAAGGAAATGACATTTGAGCTGGTCCTGGGGAGAATCTGGATGACTAGGAGAAAGAGGCTAAGAGATTAGGATGGGAAGAGATTCAGAGGTTGGCGTAAGTAAGTGTGATTCTTTTTTGATAGCACCAAGGGATTGGGTCTGGAGAATGGAGTGCTGTTGGTGTGAAACGGATGGCACTTGATACTGGACTGAAGAATGTGGGTTTTGTCCTATAGGTACTAAGGGGCCATTAAGGATTCTAAAGAGGGAATTTGGACATTGAAAAAACAGTTATAGGAGGGATGTGAGCTGACAATAGAGCAGAACATGAAGGCCAGGGGACAGTCAAATGTAACTAAGGCTTTCTGGTTTAGAAGACTGGAATAATGGGAGCTGTAAATGTCTGGTGGGTTACTTCAGGCCAGGAGTCAAAAATATGTCAACCTAAAAATATGAATGGGAAGTCCAAATGCTGTTTGTGTTTTACTCCGTCATTTCTTCAGAAACACTCTCTGATCTAGATCATTCCATGATCTGTGGCAATAAAGTGGCCCAAACCCCAAGGGTTCAGTGGAGGAAGAGTCTACCTTGGGATGGTCAGAGAAGAAAGTCAGCCAATAGCTGGATCTTGAAGAGTATGACTTGGAAGAAGAGAAAGAGTCGGTCTATTGGCAGTAATTTCAACCATAAAAGATATATTATTTCAATTCCACACATAGTTAGCATCTAAAGCAAAGCCAGGCATAAGAAGTGTTAAACTTATGGCTAGGAATAGATGTACCTTTATTTTCTAAAAGGGAAGAGCTATAAAATGAAGATCAACAGTAAATTCCTAATTACCAAGTCCAATGTATTTGCTCAGAATTCTTTCAAAAGTAGCTATCTGAAGCTTTTAATTGAGTTGGCCATTCTCACCTTTATGAAATTCTCTTTGTTTGCATCTGGATGTTTAATTTTTTCTCTCTTACAGTCTTTTTTCTTTCAACAAATTTGGTTTTTCTCCTTACTCACTGGGAGGCCTAGTCTCGGTTTTCTGCTTCCTTTAATAAATATACTCTCAATTGTAAATCTCATAGTCCTATGATGTCAAATACTATCTTAATATATTTGCATGACTCTCAAATTTGTATCTCCAGCCCTGACTTCTTGGGTTTCAATTCCTCATTTCCAATTGGCATTCCCATATTCATATATATATATATATATATATATATATATATAACTTTTATATGAAAATACTTATGTCTAAAGTCTGGTTCAAGATCTTTTCAAAATTAGGTCTTTCTCCTGTAGATCTAGAAATAGAAAGAATTGCTCTATTCTAAACACGCAGATCTGTAATCTTGAAGCCATTTAGCTTCCACCATCCAGAGAATCAACTGGTTGTTAGGAAGTCATGTTGCTAATTTCACCACTGTTCCCACCCTAGGACAAGATTTTTATCACTTCCTACCTGAATGACTACAATGACTTTCAGTTAGCCTCTCAGAATCTGGTCCCGCCCCCCACGCCCCCCAGAAATCATGGTAGTATAACCATGATCCCAACTCTTGTCTGATGCTCAGTATTCTCTACCAGCTGGCTTCAACTTAAATGTCCAGCTTTATTTTCCTTAAAGTGCCTGCTAGGACTCCCTGACTTAGCCAAATCCTTTTACTCCTTGTCCTCTGAATAGATACCACATTTCCCCTCTTGGCTCACATGTTCCTCTTCTGCAAGAAAGACCTTCCTCACTCCTCTATGACTATTGAAGATGTACTTAGTTCAAATTCCTCCATACAACATATGTGAATACCCACCCCACAGGATCTCTCCCACTTCTGTAATTCAAATAATTATGGTTCCTACAACTTGTGGCATATTTATCACATACTTTCACTTACTATTCATCATTATTTTTTCATGTGTCTTAGTCTTATCTTCCAAATTAAATAATAATCATGTCTTAGTCTTCCTGCCCCATCTTCCAACTCACGTTCACAGTGAATACATAGAACACATTCAATGAATACTTATTGATCTATTTATTGACCGAATGCATATGAACTATAAGGAACAGTAAGTATTATGAGAACAGGGGATCTTAAAGCCTGGTGAAAGAACATTCAAGATTGATTTTTAAACCTTCTGAATAGAAACAATTTTTATTAACCTCACTTTAGACTGTAGGTGTACACAACAACTAGTAGATTGTTACTTTGAGAGATAAATTTTCTTTTGTGACACTTGAAAAGCTTATAAAGGTAATAAAAATCAGCTTTCATTTATGCTAGGAGCTGAAATGTAACATTTATCTTTAAAAGGAACATGAGGCCATTTTTGATCTTTTGAGTTGGAACATTACAGAAAGTATCTAATATGTGGTATCTTTATATTGTTTTTATATGAAGTTATTTTGTCCTGTTTCTTTTCTATTTTTACATCATGATAGTACCCCTGAAACACAGAATATTAAAAACTAGAAATATTCTTAGCAAGAAACTAGTTCAATTTATTCATTTTATGGTTGCAGAAACTGATTTCCAAAGAGGGAAACTGACTTGTCCAAGGTCATGATCTAGTTATTGCCAGAGCTGGGTTTAAAAATCAAAATTATTGGCTAATAATTCTGTACTTTTTCTATAACCACATATTGTACAGTTTTATTTTTATATTTTAAATTGGAATTATTCAAATGAATAAAAAATTATTTTTCATTATTTCTCTTATTTTATACCCAAGAAAGTGAATTAGTGCCTTCATGTTATTAATAAGAGCATCCTAAATAGAAACACAGGTGAGCAATTTATTATGGTGCATATCAACATAAGGGAAATATGAGTATCATCTTAATTGTTTACTTCTGACACTTCAAAAACCTTCAAGTGTTTTCCATTGATGAGTTGAATGGGAATAGTTCTGTGTTTTTTGTTTTGTTTTGGAAGGTAATTTTATACTGGGCACTATGCTAATATTTGTAATGGCAGGGTGGCGGACTGTTTGAAACACCAAAAATAATTAGTCTCACCTGAAAAAGAGATTAACATAGTGAGTCAATGTAAATTCGTGCTAGTGATATGAGAATGTGAAAGAAGATGCCATTCAGTTTTTGGAAAAAAACATGGAATGCCACAACTGTCTTGAAATTCCATGCTATAGCAGCAGCAGAGTAAAACAAAATACGATTTACAATCTTCCCATTATAATTATTTAGCTTCATTAAAAAGAAGTGAAATTGTCATTTCTTCCCTAAAACTTCTGCCTGGAAAACATTATTTAAAGGTTCTAAAAGATGCAAAAAATTTAAAGTGCAGAAAGAATGAAAAGGAACTCAGGTAAGTAATTTTTGTGAGGAATGTTCATGGAAATTTGTCTTTCCAAAAAAACATTTTACAGTCTAAATTAGACCGTATCATTTGACTTCTCAATGACTGATATCAAGTGGTGGCTAGTACAGGCATATAACATTCTAATTTTAAAATTATGTTTGCAGTCTTTTAAAATAAAAATGACTACTGGAAATTCAGCCAACTAATGCTCTGAAAGGATCCATTCATACAGTTCGATATTCTTGAGCTTCACGGACAAATTAAGTGTATAAGAATAAGAGATGTATTTGCTTAATAAAATATCAAAATGTGGAGGATTCTGATTTGGTACAAAACCAGAAGCGCTGTAAAGTCAGACTTACTTTGTTAAGTCGTGGAGATGCAAATGGATGGGTCAGTGTTTCTTTCCCTGACTCACTAAATCCGCATGACACAGGACAAACATGATCTTAGTGTGGTAAACACAACTCAC